GGGCGACTGGAGCTTTATAAGAGGAAGACGAATCCGCCCAATATTTTACGCTGCGCCACGGCAACTCTCTTCCGGCGACGGGCGGGCGCACGTCACGTCACGTCAGGCTGCTCAGGCTCGTCATAACGTGGCGCGCGCGTCGGTCGGTCGAGGAAATTGACAATGCGCAGCAGCAGGAGCAGCAGCAGCACAGCAGCAGCAGCACAGCACGGGTGGGCTTCTTCTCCCTGTATAGACATCATCTTGATGGCATCGCACCGCCCATCAGCCTCCGCACTCGGCTGCGCTTGCGCTGCGCGGTGAGGCGATGCACCGCTCTTGGGCGCAATGGACCGACACGGCAATTGCCCGCGTGGCCATGCGGATGAGGCGCTGCAACAAACAAACGACGTGCTGCTCGTCACGGGGGAGGGGCGGTTTGACTCGCGCTCGGGCGTTGTCCGAGTCGACTCTGGAGTCTGGACTACCTATGGAACACCAGCAGGCGACGAGGCCGTTGGCGGCGGCATTCCCCCTGGTCGGTCCTGACTCCTGAGTCCTGACCAGCACCGCAAGCACAGCGCAGCGCAGCGCAGCACAGCACAGCGCAGCACAGCACAGTGGCAGGGCTGGGGCGTCCCAGGGGCAATCGTTGGATCGCCGGGGAATGAAAAAATACGAGCCACGGAGCGGAGCGGGCCACCGTCTCGACACTGCACGGCCATGCGTGAGCTCCTTTGGGTAGGATATGATGATATACTTCGTACTCATAGATCGGCGCAATTCCGTCGATTGGCGATGGAGCTTCGAGAACGGCAATAGCTCCGTCCCGCGGGCCGGCGAGATGCTTGATGAATACGAGGCGCCACGCCGTTTTGCCCCACGGCCGACGGCAGCAGGTACCCGCATGAACGCTCTGCCCATGGAAGGGTGCATGCACCTAGAACGGGGAGAGAGAGAGAGAGGCGAGGGAACCGCTGTCTCAGCCCTATAGGGAGCATGCATACCCCACAGTGACGGTGTACTCGCACATGGTTCTGTCGTTTCCTTTGACTCGGTTCAGCGTATGACATGTTTCCCATCTTCCTGCAAGGTTGGCTCATGGTTCATCGTGGGTGTCTGTATTTGCGGAAAGTCATACCACACAATGCCAAACAACTACACGTCGCTTTGTGCCCTTTCTTGTGACGCACTGACCCGCATCCTCATCCCGTCCCGCGGGGAAGCTCCGAGCTTCAGCTCCTGAAATGCCAGGTCCCCAATTTTCGTGTCCCAGTCCGTGTAAGCCACCTTGGGCACCTTGCTGATGGTTTGAGGGTTCACGACGGCCTCAAAGTCGAACCACCGCACAGTGAGCAGCAGCACGATCCGCATCTCTTCCATGGCCAGTTCCTGGCCCATGCACGCGCGGGGACCCCTCTCGAACGGTCGCCACGCAAAGCGGTGAGGCTTCGGCCCGCTGTACGAGCTCAGGAACCGATCGGGCACAAAGGCCGACGGCTCGGGGAAGTTTGTCGGGTCAAAGTGCGTGGCGTGTTGGCAGAGGATAATCATGTGGTCTGCCGTTGGGTACGAGCCCGATTTGAGGTGCAGTTTGGGCCTGGCGTCGTCATGTGTGTCAGAACGTGCAATTGCTGGTGCCCTGTCTGCAAGAATTGCATGCAGTCAAGTGAAGTGAAGTGGAGTGGAACAGAAACTTGGACGTACTCGTTTGGTGGCGACTGGCGGATTCCAAACCCGACCGGGAAAATGCGCAGCGTCTCCATGATCACGGATGACGTGTACTCGAGCTCGTTTGTCTTTGCAGGGCTTTCTCGCAGCATGTCGCACGTTGTTTGCAGAGACGGGGCAAAGATCTGGTCGTGCTCCTGGCGCAAACGGGACAGGACCTCTGGGTAGAGGCCGAGCATCATGTAGATGAACTTTAACAGCTCGCAGATTAGCATGCTACTTGACAACGACGTGTTGGATTGCGGAGATTCTTACGCATAGAGTGTCCGTGGTGGTACCGTGTCCACCAATGAGCAAGCCTTTGAGACTGTATCCGGAGTTGTGAGCTATGTGATGGGTAGATAGGGTCATAAATGATGAGGACACTCACTTGTTTACCGCAATTTTGAGAAAGTCTTGATCGAGGCCGTCGTCTGCAGCACTAGTCGGGTTCTGTATTCGATCCAGCACAATACGATCAAGGATGCTCAAGGCGCCTTGGCCTTGTCTTGTCGATGTATCCTTCTCGCTCTTCATAGCTTGGTATCTGCTCACCAATCTAGTCCGTAGAAACGTGTCGGAGCGCTTGACTGCCTGCCGTCTCGACCACCGTGCCCTGACCGCCACGATGGGATTCCACGACGTCCGAATGAGCTGCGACAGGTCCAAGATGGCTCTCAAGTCTGCCAAAATAGGCGATCCAGACTTCTGGGCGTTCAACGACACGCCGAACACGATGCCGCCGATGACGTCGAACACCAATCTCGCCATCTCTTCCTCCATGGCGAACGCATCGCCCGCACTGGCGAGTTCTCGTAGCCTGCCGTGGAAGAGCAGCACCTTGTCCGCAATAGGGCCAAGAAGCGTCTTCACGGATCTCGGAGTGAACGCCGGGGCCAGCATGTGGTGTAGCTTCTTCCACAGGGCTCCGTTGGCGGCCGCGATGACATTCTCCCCGATCATCGGCGCCAAGTACTCCTCGGCCGCCGGGTGCATCGGGTATGAGCGGACGGCGGTGACCTGTGCCGATGCGTCGCAGCCCGTGATGACGACCTGCGACGGCCCGATCGGCCAAAGGTCCACGTAGAAGACATCCGGCAGCGAGTACTTGCGCGCCAGATACGTGTAGTAGTATTGGGGGTGAGTCCCGGCGGGGAAGAGCTTGACAATTTCGCCAAACAGCTTCAGGTGTCCAAAAAGAAGAGAATGGCCTGGGGGTTTGGGCTGCGTCATCCTCCACTGTCAGCGTCACATCACATTTTGAGGATGTGCGGCCCGGAATTGAACGGCTCAGGGCTCACAGCTCAATTGGAGATGCATACCAGGTCCGTGTAGAACTTGCGGTGCTGAACAAGTTTGAGAATGGCGTAGATGAGCACCGCGAGGCTCGCCGATGAGATGACGTAGAGATACGAAGTGAGAACCATGATGGCGAGGCAAGCGATCGCTGAAGCTGCGCCGGTGGTTTGCGTTGTATGGCTGTGCGAGCGAGCTGCGTCACCTCGGAAGCGGAAACATGAAGAGATTCCACATGAACCCTTATAAGTTCATTGATGCTGCAACGGCGGCATATTTGGCTCGAGGTGCGTCATGGTAGCAATTCTACAATCGTTTGCAGCACGCGTCGCGCCCCCTTATAAGAGGAGGGAGGCGTTGGACGTCGCGGGTGAGACGGAGGGGGCTGCTTCGCGAATCGCGATGGAGCTTACGTCTGTAGCCAGCTTGAGGCTAGCCAGCACACCAGTCACTCGCACTCCCGTTAGGTATCGACGAGGCGTCAGATACGTATGGCCACGGCATTTACTAGCAGGTAAAACGCCAGAAAGTCCCCCCGGGTCCCAGCCACTCGTCCAGAAGCGGAGCCATCAGGGCGAGACTGCGAATGCGCCATGCATGTACTGCAGCAGTTGGCCGAGGCATCAGCATGATCAGGTAGCTGGTCAATGCGATAATCGGGACGCTAATAACTACCGTAAGACCGAGCCAGCGTCCGTGGGCGTTTTTACTAGTACTAGTCCTTGTCAACGGTGATTCCACACGACGAATGACTGCAGTCTGGGGCACGGCTGATCTCCAGCTGTCAGCGAACATGGCCTGCTGGCGGTGGTGCCCTGCCGAGTCGATGCCCCTTGCGCGATCGAACCGCCGCTCGTTAGCGCGCGCGTAAAAATAAACAAGAGCCCCGGGGTTGTGATTCGAGAGCTCGCGATTTCAGATTGAATTGGTAAAGTCGAGCAACGCGCCCTCGCCATGGAACGAAAGAAGCAGCTATGAGCCTTGCGCTGTTACTGAAGCAGCAGGTCGTCGCACGATCGGGCGTGTGGAACGGCACCCGCATGGAACTGTGAGACTGATTGAAAACCGGATGATGAACATTGCGATTGTCTATTCCCTGTTTAACTTTCATCGCAGCCGTTGACATTCCGCGTTGCAACCGTTGTAAGTGAAGAAACGGGCGGGGTGGGTCATGCACAGCAATTATATAATCAAACAGCTCCCCAGTCTAACAACGATTCGGACACTTTGGCCGAGTGGTTAAGGCGATGCCCTGCTACTATCACTAGCTAGTCTCAAGGCATTGGGTTCGCCCGCGCAGGTTCGAATCCTGCAGGTGTCGTTTTTTTGTCGTTGTCGCCTATTTACACCTCTGTTTGAAGAAGCGCAGAGTCGAATCGTACAGGTGCCCTTCCTTTCTTTTTGTCGTTGTCGTTGTCGGGTCACCTTTCCCCATCTCTCGTTGAAGAATTTGCTTACACCATCTTGCTCTGTGGTGTGACATTTTTGCACCCGACACCAGCAAGACTGCCTACCCGGCTACTGCTCGCACCACCGCCGCCGCATACAGCGAGGTTCCGGCTGGCAGCGAAAGCGCGGCATCAACGAAGCGAGGGCCCGAAGAGGCGCACTCGATCTATCAGGGTGAAGACGGCTCGGTTGAAGAAGTGAGCACAAATCTAGTACCGGCGCTGGTCCGGGGGCTCAACGATGACCGGCATGCGCATTCTAACTGCGCGCACCCTCAATGCGTACACGAACAATGCGTTTCTAAAGCCGAACCCCCGAGACCATGCAACCACATCCTGAACACACACCAGTATTGCTCGGAGGGAGGCGAAAGCATGGCTCACGTTCCTTGGTGAGCTTTCGGCAGGCAGCGTAGCTTGCAGGTTGGCTCTTGCGCCCGCGTGCTGCGGATGATGATGTGCCGCCCCGCCCCGTCTGTCTCGGTCTAGTCATGACGCGCCTCCACTTGGTGTCTACAGAAACTACGCCTATAATGGAACGTAAGCACAGTGCAAATATCGAAAACAGACACTTTGGCCGAGTGGTTAAGGCGATGCCCTGCTACTAGCACAGTTTCAAGGCATTGTATTCGTACGCGCAGGTTCGAATCCTGCAGGTGTCGTTTTTTTGTTGTTCCCCCGCCCAGCCTCCAACCTTGCAGGCGTCGAACGCGTTTCTTTTTATTTTCTACTAATTGTTTTTTGTATTATACGCGACGTGCTCTATGGAGCAGGCGGTGTCACTTTAGTACCGTCCAGGAAGTGAATTTGGGTAAACGTGGGACATCTCGGGCTTCACGGTCGGAGCTACGAAGAAGGCTCAACAACAATGTTGTATCAGTACACCTTCATGTGAGGAACCGACAGGGTCCGAAATCTCAAGATGGGTGTGAAGTGATTTACTATCCTGTCGTGGACACCTTGAAGGCTGTCGCAAAAGTGAACTCCCCAGCAGCCAAACTCATCCACGGGTGCAGTTACCTGGACCTTCCGACTAAGCAAGGGCGATTGCATACTTCGAAGCTGAGTCCCAGGCTGAGCTGTCGGGCGACCCTGCACCGATCTAGAGGTGTAAGTAATTATGCTGCAGATATCGATTGTAGCTTAAAACCTAAAACGGACATCGGCCTGTGAGTACCGGATGCGAGGATTGAAACTGCGAGCAGGGCGAAGATTGTGGAATGACAAAAGTCCTGCTGTACGGAGCTGACGAGCCTAGATGACAGTTCAACCTGCGATTCGCGGTGTTCTTCTAAAGCTTCCCATGTCCAAGGGCGTCAATAACCTCTCTGCCGCCCCTCGCACCCGAACGCAGCGCCCCATCCATGTATCCCTTCCATTCATACGCCGTCTCCGTACCCACGAAATGAATCTTGCCGTGAGACGCACGCAGAGCCGGCTCAAGTCGGGTCATGACCCTCGGCGGCGCAGCGGGGCACGGACACCCTTGCGACCACTGATCCCATTGCCATTCATGCTCCTCGATGCCGATGGGCTGCGGTACAGAGCCAGCGGACCCGAGAGTCTTCGTAACGTGCTCCACGACGGCGGCGAATCGCTCCGCCTGTGACAGCTTGGACAACTGGCGGCCCCAGTCTCCCACGCAGAAGCATGTGAGCGAGAACTGGCCCAGCTCGTCGACACTTGAGTCTCGCGTCACCGTCACTGGGCCCGCAAACGACTGGAGCATGCCGCAGAGCCCGTAACCGCGCCACCAGGGGCTCGAGTAGCGAACCATGACCTTGTTGGTGTAGCCGTGGCGGTTGAGCCGACTCAGCTCGAGCTTGTCGGCCGGCAGCGCGGGATGGAATGTGATTTCCTTGTACAGCGGCGTCGGGACCGACACAATGACGCGCTTGCAGGTGTATGTCCGCCTTGTAGAATGCACCTGTATCGCTGACGCCGCCTGTTCCACAACCCGCACAGGTGAGCTCAGTGTGATAGTGTCTGGCCGGAGGAGGTTGGCCAAGCCTATCGCGATTTTCTGAGTGCCTGTCAAGTACAGTCAGTCCACCAAGTATATGGTAAGCGGCACTTGGAATCTTGGCTCAATAACCGAGCAAGTGGAACGAACCTTTTGCGAGTCGGAGGTATTGGCCCCCGTTCTTCTGGTCCGACCGCATCTGCAGCAGTCCTCCACCACTCTTGCAGTAGTTGAGGAAGAACAAGGCGCTAACTTCACGCGGCTCCATGCCGAGCATGGCCCTGGTCCATATGCTCGCGGACGCCAGGGCTGACTCGCTCGGCCCTGTCACTGACCTGACCCAGTCCTCGAACGACATATTGTCCAGGTGGCTACCGTTACGCAGTGGATCGCGAATGTCGAGTGACTGGCACACCTCCTCAGCTTTGTTGCGAAGGAACAACATGCTCTCGACGCCATTGGCCTCGGAAAGTTTCTGCCTCAGTGTCAGTGGTGTGCCTGCCGCTTGGGTGTGTCTCAAGGGCAATGGGGACCATGTGCACGCATGATCATACCTCAGGCAAGTCTCCATATCTGAACTGCGATATGGCCCGTCAGTGTCCTCTTGGATTACATTTCCCGTTGTGTTCTGAACCACAGTCTCGAGGCCAAGCTCTTGGACAAGCCGAAAGACCTCGGACTGGTTGGTATCGTTGATCCACGCCGCGCCCACGTCGACAAACTTGCCCTTGTCGGTGCGGTCGCTCGACCACGTCTTCCCTCCGACCCTGTCTCGGGCTTCGACTACAGCGCACGAGTACCCGGCCTGCTGCACCTCGTACGCGGCCTTGAGGCCGCTCAGACCAGCGCCGATGACCACGACGTCCACGTCCTGCGACGGCAGCTGTGGCAACGAAACGTATGCTTCCACCTCGAACAAGAATTCGGGCCTCGCAAGTTTCGGCACAGGGACCAAGGTGGTTGCGGGGCGATGTCCGCCGAGGAAGTCGAGCAAAGGTTTCGCGTGGTTTCGCTTGGTATGGTCGTAATCAACAATGTAGTACACAAGCTTGACTATATCGGTGACGTGTGCTCCGACCGACTCCAGACATCGCGTGAGGTTGGCAAATGCAAGGCGGATTTGCTCCTCGACGTTCCCTGGGACTTTGCCATTCACGTCGGCCCCGACCTGACCTGCGGTCATGACAACGCGGCTGCCGGGTGCTGAGACGGCCACATGAGAGAAGGTAGGCCGGCTGTCAAAAAGGTTGTGGGGATCGATGGCAAAGACATTTGGCCTAGGGGAAGGCATTTTGTTCGTTTGCTCTGTGACGATTGTTGCGTATCTAGGAAGGAGGAGGCGACGTCTTGAGCAGCTGTGATTCCGTGTGAATACCGACTTGCACAACAGTTGGCAGCGAGGCAGTCATGCTCGTACAGCAGCCGCTCAGACTGGACTTTAAACAGAACAACATGACACGCAGGGCGCCGCAACTGCGATCCCGAGCCGCCTCACTTCGCCAACAACTTGTCTGTCGGGCCTGATCTCAGCTGGATTCGAGTTCCGAGTTGCGAGCAGACCAGTTCCGGGCTCCGCTTGGCCGAGACAACCTACGCAAAAGGGAAACTAGCTCAGGTGCCATTGGCAAACCATCACCGAAAAGTGGACGTTGACCCCTCCCGCCAGCATCGCGGGGTAGTTATTAGTTCCGTTACCCGCTGCTCGATGTAAATGTCTCCGAGCGCCGGTGTTCCAAGTCGTCGGTTGACGCTCCCCCCACCAGATTAGATTCGCCGAACCAAGATGCCTCACGAAGCGAGCCCGAGGAGGCAACAGATGCACTCGTGCGACGCCTGCAGGCGCCGAAAAGTGCGCTGCGACCGTGGCAGCACCGACCCGTCTGCGCCATGCAGTGCCTGCTCCAAGGCCAATGCCACTTGCGAGTATGCGGACCCCCCTTCGTGGCAGGCTGTTGTGAAGTTTGTGGCTCGATTTTTTTGAGGTTTCCATTGAGGACGGTATCGTCTGACCTTTTCATCCCACTGCAGATTCACCATCGGTTGGCGCCGGAAGAAGCAACATGGTCGCAAGAACCGGTCAATGCCGTCACGCACGATAGCATCGCAAGGCGGGAGCATGAAGACGAGTTCTGGAGAATCCACTGTGCCTCGCATACCGGTGCAAACACCCCCGGAACTCCTTTCCCCGCGGGCATCGACGGCTGCCCCCGGCAACGCCACACCTGCACCGAGCTCCGAGGAGGCCGTCTCGCTTGGGCTGGCCAAGAACGGGCTCTTCCGCTTCTTCAGGGACGGCATCTCGTCCTCGACATGGAACGTCTTTGACAGCTGCGACCGGATGAGGGTGGTTTACGTCGGCACCGACGTCTCCAACATGACGCATCTGATACGTCTCAATAAGCCCAACTCGTCGTGTCTCGTCCTTCCCTTTCCGCAGATCCACCCTCCCCATCTGTGGAAATCCAGCGCCGTGCAGGGCGGTATCGCGACGGAGACGGTGCAAGATGTCATCTCGTTCCCGGCCAAGGACGTGCGGGACAGCCTCGTCGACGCCTACTTTGCCGCCATCAACCCCTTCTTTCCCGTGGTGGACGAGGCCGCTTTCCGCGATCGGTACCGCACAATGGACAGCCAGTCGCCACTGATGCTATTGCATGCAGTCCTACTGGCCGGAGCCCATGTTTCAACCCATCCTCGCGTGGTGCCAGCTCGCTACATGCTCAAGGCAACGCTGTTCCGCCGCGCCAAGCACCTGTTCGACATGCGCCACGAGAACGACCGGGTGCACCTTGTCCAAACCGCGTTGCTATTCACCTGGCATCTGCAAAACGGTGATACCGCGAGCGCCAACGCCTACTATTGGACTGGCGTGGCGTGCCGCATCGCCTTTGGCATTGGCATGCACAGAAACTTGTCCGTCGCCAGCATCAACCCGCATGCGAACAATATGCCCGCGGAAGACCGGCGGCACTGGCGACGGGTGTGGTGGACTCTGTTCCAGGTTGATGCGCTCTCCGCCCTGGAACATGGGCGGCCACCGATGATCCGATTCGAGGACTTCGATCAAGAGCCGCTGGTGATGGACGACTTCATCGAGTCCAACGGCGTCCTGAATGCCTCGCTCGATTTTGACTACTGCACCCAAAACATTGGACTTTGCCATATCATTCTTGATATTCTCGCTCTCAGTGCGCCGCGCGTCTCCCGGAAATCCCCCCTCGCGGCGCAGGCGTCCTTGCTGAATTCACGACTCGCGTCATGGATGTTAAACTTGCCATCTTCCATCAGCTCTGAAACCTTTGCGGACCTGAATCTGCGCTTGCATTACCACACTGCCGTACTTCATCTCTACAGACTGATATCAGATGACGTTGCCTGCCCAGACCGTGTGAAGCGTGAAGCGTGGAGTGTTGTTGGTGGTGCAACCAGTGCAATCGTCTCAGCATTCGAGGTGATACGAATGAGAGACATGGTTGGCCACTGCCACTTCACGGCCCTGGTGGCACTCACGGCCGCGGCTATACATACGTCAAAGGAGATACAGAGACAACTAGGAGACTCGGGCATCATGGCTGCTCTCAATGATCTCCATCTATTGGACAGGGTTTGTCTAGCCGCTGAGCATCTCTCTGAATATTGGCCCAACGCAGAGGGGGTCCGAAAGGTATTTCGTAGCCTCCTGGACAAGTTTACCGCCAT